TTGATCAAGGGCTCATTGTAGAAAAATTTATATATATTAAATTTGGATGAACAATGTGAACTTTTTGACCCTGTAAAACTTATTTTATTTTATATAAAATCGTTTTTAGACATTTTTTTTCACTACTCTTTTAGTTAGTTTTCTTTTTAAAGTTATATATCTCATTAATCCTAAAAATAAATCAGACTATCACGTTTAAGATATATATAAAACGTTACTAGGTATTGTTTTCTATACTTTATAGTCTAAAAAATATGAAATTTGAGTATTAAAATAAAAAAATGATATAGGTTAAACTTGTAAAGATTGACAGTCAAACATCTTCTATACAAAAAAAAAAAGAAGTTTTATGAGAATATAGATTTAGTGATTTATACATCCATATAAATCTTTATTTATTAGTATTAGTTAAGAAAGTAATGTGGGGTTTTTTCTCTATGAAAAATATTTACAAATAAATTTCATCAAATTCTTTAAATTCTCCTTTATAAAACTTCTCCTAATGTTTTTTTTTTTCTTTTCATCAGTTTTTATTTTATTATTTTTTATCTTATGTTATCATACCATTAATATATTATTGAGTGTATAATAATATTATGGTTATCGTATGTTATTTTTTTTTACGTTTCTTTTTCTCTAAAATCGAGAGCATGTTTCTTCTCTTTTTTTCTTGCTTACATAGTCACACGACGGGTGTTACCTACAAGTGGTTATAAAAAAATATTTTCTTTTTTCTCTCATTTTTCTATTGAAATATTACCATTATGATTTTACATAAACCACATAATTTTTAATATTACAAAATATTTTTGAGACGGAGAGAGAGATAGATAGAGAGAGAGAGAGAGACGAAAAACAACAATAATATGTTTTATTGACAGCTGAGACGAATAATAATATGAATTATTTTTTTTGATGTGGTAGATTAATAATACACGCGTGTGTGCACAATTTACATTTATTTAACTTTTTATGATTTGTTTCATTTGAAAAAATATTTAAAGGTAAATAGTAGATAAAGAGCTTCATTAGTTGCGTGATTATAATAAATAGTTGAATATTTAGATATAATATTAGGAATATTTTCTACTCTATATTCATCTTTTTGATTGTACACGCAATATGTTACACACACACACACACATATAGACATTTTTAAATATATTGAAGTTGTTTCTAGATGCCCTAAATACGTCTGTAATTTGTTTTTAACACCTTATAATAATAATGAATTGAGATGAAAATTCTTTGAAGTAATAAAAAAAAAAAGAAAAATTTGTTATGATCATAATGTGGTAAATTAGAAATAGGGTGTAGTATATGTTGTGAACATATTATGTGTATATTAACGCCTCTGAACAAATATCTAAAAAACAAAGAAAAATAGAGAGAATAACGATAATGAATATTGCAGTTGTTATTTATGAAACAACTGCTCATATTTTGACATTATAATATAGAATAACTGATGTTTCCTAAAAATAGCTCTCGTTTTATATATGGCAGTAATAATATATCCTTTGGATATTGAAGTTAAGAGATTATTTTTTGAAAGAGATCCTTCTTGATGTGATATATTTATAAGAGAGACAGAGAAAGAGAGAAAACAAAAGAAAAAAGTAAAAGTAAAACTTGATTTAAACACAATAGTTTCTTTTAATATCTGTTTAAAATCATGACAATTTTCGATTAATAATTTTTAATTTTACTGGTCATTACTTAAACTGAAAGGAAAATTTGCATTTGGTTATTTTTAAAATTTTATGCAGTTTATGCATTTATATTATATTCTTTTGTGACAAAAAAAAGAAACAATGAATTTGTCTCTTGTGATAAGAATCCCTTAGAGACGCTTATTTTTTTATACAGATGAAGAAACAGATCATGTATTGTATGTATTATCACGTCTGTCTCTTATTCTATTTTACATTTATATACGAAAATAACAATAATAAGTAATTGGACCTTAGACAGTAACGGAATACAGAATATCTCTTAATATTTGTAAACGAAAGAAGAAGTAGAAGAAAAAAACTGAGAGGACCCATTTTTTTTTTTGAATAATTTTGATCATGTTTTTGTCAATTTTTCAACAAAATTTTTGATGAATGTAGAAGAACGATAGAGTAGTTTAATAGAAACATATTGTTGATTGTTATTCATTTTTTCAATTCATTTCATATGTAACTGTTTTTATTAATTCGTTTATGAAGTTGTTGATAGTGTTTCAATGCATAATATATGCATTCTTTTCAATACAATAATTCAATTTTTATGTTGAAATTTAATATACATCAATGAAATTTTGATTCTTTAGTAGATAAGTATAAATATTCTTTCATTTAAGTATTATTTACTAGGTTGTTTGAGTATAAGAGACATTTCCAATTAGTTGACAATAGTAGTTAGAATTTATATTTAAACAATTTTTTTTTTCTCGAATGAACAGCGTTCGATTAGTAAATTATATGTGATGAATTGATTTTTTATAAAAAAACTTCAAAAAAAAAAAAATTCTTTATTTTTGTTTTATTATTCGACACATATCGTTTATATCGAACAAAAACAAGAAAAAAAAAGTATGTAAATATTTTTTTTCTATGAAAGATTAACATTGTTCTTCTTAACTTGTCAAGTGCTGTTCATTATTGCGATTAGTTGAATAAAGTTGTACGGTAAATATATATCGATTGCTATATTTCTTACCAGTAAATGTAAATACGTATTTTCTCAACAGTTCCATGGCAATCGAAGGGATGTGATGCAGTGAACATCCTTTAAACGCCTTCTGCTTCTTGATTTCGTCGTTTTTTTGTTTTTTTTTGATATTTTACATATTTGAAGCTCAGATAGAACGTAAGCAAAGTACGGTCTGTAATAAAACCAAATGAATTTGAAACGTACTATAAAAATGTCTCGTCACGTGTCTTAAATGTCTTCATCACGTTGATTTCTTATCATAAGTCGCAATCTCTCTTTTCTTTTACAGTCTTGATATGATTCAGACTCGCAGCTTAACTCCTGTAGAAAATCTTATTTACCATTTTGATACATCTTATATAACGTCTACTAATTTTAGAAAAATATTCAAATTTTTTATTACAAACACCTCATTAATTCATCACCGCAAAGTCGGTAAATGTTTACATTGATCTTGACTTTGACTGTCAAATTCTGATTAGGATAAAAAGAAATGGATAAGAGTCGCGCGATAGAAAATACCAAGCACGCCATAAAAATGAAGTGACATACACGATTTCTATATGAGAAAGATACAGGCATAGAGAATGAATTGAGCGGGTAATCATGCGACTTTTTACGATGGCTCGAGACACGATAATGATAAGAAAGTTAAGTTGAGATTATATTAACTCTCTTAGATAAATCAGTAAAGAAAAACTATTTGTCTTCTAAGATGTGAAAAAACAGAAGAACCTATAAGGCTACTCGGAGAGATAGATCGAGATGGCCAATTCTTAGTCTTATGATATGGACAGCTCTTTTTTTAAAATTGTCTTTTTTACAAAGCTTTTGATTACAATGATGAAAAGGGTACATTCAATAGTATATGAAGTAGTTCTTATCTCTCTTATGAGAAATTAGTTCCACCTCCTATCTAGCCACGACAATGATTCTTGAGTTTAAGTAGATTGGGACCAGGGGATCCCCATCTAAAGGGATAAAAAATTTTATGTCGTTTTTTTTCAAGTTAATAACTATTTTTTTGCAGATGAGTTTGTGTGTTAGCAGGTTTTACTGGTGAGAAAAGCGATGGTAAAAACGGTCGAAAAGCGGGAAAGGTGGCAATCCCGATTTGGACACTCTATTTGCACAGAAAGAAAAGGACAATTGAAGCAGTAAGGAATGTACAACCATGACCTAGAACATCGTGAGGACTGTAAAATTACATTTTATGTATCATCTAAAATATTCCCGGCAGTGTTATGAATTACAAGATAGTTTATCCACTTGCAAGTCAGCTGAAAAGTTTACCTACAAATTATAATTTTGAACAGCTTTTTCTTCAGAGATAACCTAACTTCGAGAAGAATAACATGCATTCATCCATGCACCAGCGGCACTCAGCATATTCACGACTCATAATCAATACATAATTAATTAAATCATTTTTTTATTTTCCCGTAAAGTTTGTCATCTTGAAGAATGAAAAAATGCTACTTGCCACAGGCCAAAAAAAGAAGCGTCCTAGAGAAAAGGTGTCAACTGTCTTTCATTTTCTTAACACCATTTTTTTTTTCGTCAATTTCCTCATTTGACCTGTTCATTTTGAAGAGTCTCTAAGGAATCTTTTCTATTGGTCCATTTTCTACAACAATGATACACGAGGTAAACAGAAAAAAAATCAGGCATTGTTTGCGATAATGCAATTATTCATTATTTCTTGTTAATCTGAATAAACATCTGTGAGATTTTTTTCTAAAAGATTACTCCGTTTTGTTCATGTTGTCCACGTGTTTTTAAAACAACTGAATGAATAGTGTGTCGTTGATGAGTTTCAGCGAACAAAGGTTATCAGTAGTATTTTTATAAGAAATTTGCGCAAATAGATCTCCACAGTTTATCACGAGGGAAAAAAGGCGATTTTTCCCCTTGTTAGCAGCGTATAGCATGTCAGGGACTCTGGAAAGCTCCGTGAGTTGCTTTCCCCTTGGTTTATCATCGAATTTCCCACGTTCTACTTGTTAAAAAGTGAATGCATTTAACATTTTCAAAATATAAAGTCAAATCGCTCTCGTGTGGCTCACCATCAATCATTAAAAACACTAAGCGCTATGTAGTCTGTTTTTCCAATGTAGTATATCCATAAGTACAAAGGGAGTGTAATAGAAGGAAGTATAAATCTTTCAGCTTTGTCTTGATAATATTTACGATAATAATTGTCTAGTTTTTGATGTTTCCTGTTAAACTTTGTTTCTTTTGTTGCGTTTCAGATCTTCTTAACATTACTCATTTTTAAAATAAGAAGAGACGATTAATTAATGGCTTCTGGTGGTAGTCGCACAATTCGTCGTACCGTTGAACATGGTGTACGTCAAGTGTCAGGTGCCGATTTTAGTGGTTCGCCTGCAAAGGCTCTCGCCGTTGCTGCCATTAAAGAACAACGAGATAATGAAAAACAAGAATTGATTAAGCTCAACGATCGCTTTGCTGCCTACATTGATCGTGTCAAGTATTTGGAAGCAACAAATAAACAACTTCAAGCAAGATTAGATGAGTTACGTTCGCGGTGGGGTATCGATTCAGATCGTTTACGTCAAGAATATGAGCCGCAATTGAATGATGCACGACGAAAAATTGATCAAGCTACGGCTGATAAAGCGCGAGCTGAAATCAAATCGAAACGTGCCGAATTTGATGTTTTGAATTATAAACGTTTATGTGACGATGTACAACAATGGGCAAATGCAGATAAAGCAAAAATATCAGCACTAGAAGCAACATTAAGAGAAAATCAAGCGGAATTAGGTATGTTAAAGAAAAGAGTCGATTCATTAATATTTTAAGTTCGCTAACTTAATCGATAACTCTCGGATTGAGTTATAATGTATATGTCAAAATGATAGCAACGTTATACAGTAACATCTCACTTGTCTAATTGTATATTTTTTAAAGTTAAATGAACTATTTCTATTTGTTTAGAACATTTACATCGTTTAATGAATGATTCAATGAATGACATTGAAAAATATCGAAATGAAATGAAACATTTGTATGAAGAAATAAGTCGTCTTCTTATCGAATTAGACAATGAAACAATGGCAAGAATTAAAATTGAAAACGAGAAACAAACATTAGAAGAACAAATACCATTTTTATCAGCTATACACGAACAAGAAATGAATGAATTAAGAACATTATCATCAGGTATAAGACAAAAATAAGATTAATAATAACAACAAACAATCAAAAAAATTTGAAGTAGCTAGGATTGGTTGAGCTCATTCTAACTTACTATCGCTCAATTTTTTGTTTTTATTTAATATTTCTTCATTCTCATTATAGGTAACATTGGTATTGATCCAACCACATTTTACAAAAATGAATTACAACGTGCCATACGTGAAATACGTAATGATTTTGAGAATTTATCACGTGCACAACGTCAAGAATTAGAAGAATATTATCGAATTAAAACGGATGAAATTGTACAACAAGCACAACGTGCTAAACGTGAACAAGGTACACAACAACAAACGCAAGAATCATCATCAACAATTCGTACAACGATAACAGAAACGAAAAAAGAAATGGCTGATTTACAAAATGATTATAATTCATATTTAGCTAAAATGAGTGATCTTGAATCAAGATTAGAAACATTAAAACGAGGTATATTAAATAGTGAAAATCCAACATCCTAGTCTTCATTTCATTTCTCGTTTGTTTTTCTTGTTGTAGAAAATACGGATAATATTGATTCACGTGAACGTGAAATACTAGAACTACGTTCAAAATTAAATGAATTGATGGCATCATATGATGAAATAGCATCTAATAAATCATCATTAGAATTTGAAATAAATACCTATCGTCGTTTACTCGAAAGTGAAGAAGCACATGCTCATAAATTTGGTGATAAAACACAAATATCAACAACACATAAAGAGTGGATTCGTAGAGAAACAACCGAAAGTAGTAGTAGACATGAGAAACATGTATCGCCACAACGTCCAATCATTCCTCCTGTAATAGCCGATTCTACAAAAATAAGTCAAACAGAAATGCAAGCAAAAACAACATTTCAACGAAGTGCCAAAGGTAAAAGGAGTTTAATTGTTTCTTAGACTTTTTCCGTAAGATTCAAATAGATCTCTGAATAGTAAGTAATCGATGGAATTTGAAAATTGAATGATGTCAAATATAGCATATGTAGTCAGATATTTCCTCTAAAAAGTCGGTTAGGTCAAAGATGACAAACACACTTCATGTATCTGATTGAATGAGTGTGCGTTTATAGAATCTAAATATGCACGTATTTATTTCATAAAAGTGTAAAGAAGATATATATCGCCGACCTTTTTTTAAATCAATAGTGTTCCAGTTTATCTAGGAATTCTATCAGTTGGTTTTAGCCCGTTAAGGAGTACCACTCTTTTGCTAAGATTTTATTTAATAGACGGGGATATACTTTTCAAAATTGATAGATGAGTAGGTGTTATAATATTCACCCCTCTACTTGCCCATCTTTCTACGAAATGAAATCTGATCAGAATACTAAAGAACTCGATCTAGTTCTATGGTAAATTGAATCTAATTTCACATATTTTTCAAGCAGGGATTCCATTTTAGAGCATAGGTCTACACTTCATGCACGAGCACAGAGGGAGAAAGGCTGTGAAAAAATGTGTTCCTACTTATTCGTCTGAATGAAAAAATTTTGATTTCTCTGCCAAAAATCCTGCGCACGTGCCTGTTACGCTCATAAGCTTTTTCATCGATTTTAGCATCTCATCAACTTGTGTAGATTAAATACTCGTGACTAAGAGGTTAGGACATAACTAATGGAATTGAATTTTTATAGACAAAAACTATTAAATTATCAGAAAACAGTAAATAAGAAAAAAACAAAACTTTCGTATATACAGAAGACAATGTTACCTAATAGAAAGATAAAGAGAAGAATGACAGGAACAAACAAGAATACATTTACCAAAAAAAGACAAGATAAACAGTAAATGACATCTTCTGTGGATACACAAGAATAAGATGAAGAAAAAAAGCATCAATTCGAAATATTTTATATGACTTTTGAGTAGTATTTTATATACATTGATGTTGATCACGTGGGCTATTAAGGACGGCAGATTATTTCATTGTTGAGAAGTGGAGAGTATGATAGATGATGAAAAAATCTGTGTAAAAAATTGTTTCATTTCAATCGATCTGTCGTAGTCAAGACATGCAGACCGTCAATTTTGTACAGGAGTGATTATATTAAGGTGTGAATATAGACATATCGTAATGATGAATAATAAATGAATAAGTCATAAAATAGAACTTTATACAAGTATTCTGAAATTAACTGCATTTTTATCTTTTTTTTTCTCTCTTATTCTAGGTCCAATAAATATTGATGAATGTAGTCCGGATGGTAAATTTGTTATATTAGCAAATACATCAAAAAATAAAGATATCGATTTAACTGGTTGGCGTTTACTACGTAAAGTTGACGATAAAAAAGAAATAACATTTTCATTACCACCAAATTTTAAATTACAAAATGGTAAAAATGTTAAAATTTATGCAGGTGGTCATGGACGTGAACGTCCACCATATGATTTAGTTCATTCGCAAATTGATTCATGGGGAATCGGTGTTAATATTGTTACGAGATTATTAAATGATCAAAATGAAGAAAAAGCCACACATATACAAAAAACAGTTTATGCAGCCTAATCTTAAACTTAATTTAAAATAGAGAAAAAACAAAAATAAAAACATTATTTCTAATACTTAGCCACTTTTTTCATTTTTTTTTTTTTTTTAAAAAAAAATAAATGTTATCTAAGCTCTGTTGGTTGTTCTTGTTCATGTCTCTTTCTCTATCGCGTACATTACCGTGCGTGTTCTTGAGATATTTTATTTCTGTTGCTTTTTATTTGAGTAATATCATCTAAGAATATGTATCGTCATTTTTTTACTACTTATTTTAAGCAAGTAAATAGGAACAAAAAAAAAGAAAAATCATTGTTCTTCTTCTGATGAAATTAATGAGGGTATCATTTTTCTAGGTGTGCGTATGTTTACTCAATGAATGCGCAATGAGCATTATTCTTTTGTCCTCGTTATTTAAGCATCTTCTTTTCTCTCTTTTGCTGTTGTTTTTTGTAGATTTGTTTCAATTTTCTTCTTTTGTTTTTGTTTTTATTTGCCAGAAAATTCGTCATGAAATAAAATTATGATGAATTAGGGAAGAATGTATGTAGTCTGCGCACATTGTGTTGTTTTTGTTTGTTTGTTTTTTTATTAGAAAAATTAATAAAATTTTCTTTTTTGTGTAGGTGATTTATTATCATTTAATATATGAATTTGATCTGATCTCTCCTCTCTCTCATGTTTCTTATCATACCGTTCCTTTTCTCTTTTTCTTTCATTTGATTTTTTTTTTCATATGTGTTTTGTTTGTGCTTGCTTGTTACTACTGTTCTTCAACATTTGTTCTTTTTTTTTTGTATTTTGTTAAAAACCCCAAAAATAACGAACAAAACATAACAAGAAGGTAGGAATGAGAAGTATCAGACAACACAGCTGAGATATCCTTTAGCTTTTGTTTGTTTTGAAATATGTTTTAAAAATGTTTTATTGAATATTAGTAACGTGTGTAAGTATCAGATGAAAATATATTAAGATAATTAAGTAAACGATAGATTTTTTGTGCACAAGCCTAACTTGAAAGATAAATGGTTCAAAAATAATTTTCTTAACAATTATTTTAAAGGATGAGTGTATAATTGTTATGAATAGCAATGAATAGCATAAGAAAAACTAAAAAAAGATTTATATATAAGATTTATTAATTAAAAGACGAGGTCTGAAATTTCTCGTTTATTTACTCAAAATGAAGACAAAAAAACAAAAAGCACACAGACGTCGAACAAAACACAAAAAAGAAGATTTGAAATAACATTAGCACATAGTGACAGAGAGATCAAGCGGAATCTACTGTATTTCGGTATCCTTCAAGCAAAAGTTATAATGTTCTTAGGATTCTTGTTTTCGTTATGATACGGTGCTGGAATACAATATTATCCGTTTTAAAATTAAAAAAAAATACAACTATGCAAAGTTATTTTTCATATGGCAAAGAAAATACTAATATGACAAGAGAAAAGATGACGATTTAATGGCAATATTACAAAAGATAAAGTATAAATGACAATAAATCGATTGTTCTTTGATCGATCTAAATGAGAAAAATAGAAATTAGGTGAAGACGAACGTTGTTCAATCTAAAAGAAGTCACAGTAACATTGAGATAAAAATATTTTAAGTGGGAGTTAAAAACTAGTAATCGACGTTTTACATTGAATGATCTATTGGGAATATGATGACAATGATTATTCTATTCTATGATTGTATGCTTAAATGAAATCATCAGACAAATGCCTCAATTGTCTATCAAGGGAAAGTAATGACCAACAAAACGGTGGAAATAACTCTATCAGACTCGTCATCTTGTGTCATCATCTGATTTCATATTTTTGTTCCAAGTCTCAAACACGAAACGAAATAACTCCATAGTCTTGCCATGTTGTGTTTAAGGAAAGGAAAATATTCTAAATTGAAATTATTTGTTACGTACATACTTTAATTAATCAAGATCATTGGCTGAATTTGGTGAAGTTGAACTTCCACCCATTCCACCAGGAAATCCACCCATTCCACCTGGAAAACCCCCCATACCACCCATTCCTCCAGCTCCACCGCCACCAAATTTACCAGCAATTTTTTCCATTATTTTACGTACTTTTGGATTATTTTGATAGTCAGCTATTTTAGCTGGATTACTGCTGATTTCCTAAAATATACAGAAATAAATGAACTTATTTAGTAAAAATAACTGTTCGTGAAAAATGCTAACGAGCAGGTTTTAAGAATGTTTCAAACATGGATAACAGAGTCAATCATCTAACCAACGATACTGGTTGCACGATATTTTTTACCACAGAATAAGTGATTATAAAAGTCAATGTCATCATGAGCCATAAAAACTACAACTATACAAACAAACAGGATGGCTCTATCACTTTTTTGAAAAGCAATCACGACTATTTTTAATATCTCTGCACGTAACGCAAATTACTAAATAAAATAATTGCAGCAACACAAACACATGTTACATGTCGAAATCAAAATAAAGAAACAGACAGCGAAGTCTAACGGATCACAAAAAAACTTGTTGAACGTCCTGCAAAACTTTTCGTTTTGTCTTTTAGTAGCAAAGAATTGACTAGTTAACATCCAGACACTGCTACATTTTAGACACTTTGCCATGAACTTTAGTGATACAAAGTCAATTTTTTTCGCAAAAACTAATTCGAGTGTGATCTTGTTATCCTCTTAAAGTATGGCATTTTACGGGAAACCATAATTGCAACGCGCAGATATAGAATAAAATTCGATTCAGTGAACGAACAGATAGATAAGAAAAGATCATATCGATGCACAAAAGCGTTATTCATACATACAGCTCTACCATCAGTCCGGGAAATAATCCCAGAGGGTATCGATTTAAGGCGTGTTCAATTAGCAAATCGTCTTTTCTGATGACATATTGATCTTTAGAGTAAAACGAATACTTACGGCAAAAGCGGTTTGAACATCTGGATCTTGTAATGCTGTCATAATCTCTGGATCATTCATAAATGCTCCTAATCCACCTAAACCACCAGCGCCTCCCGCTCCTAAATACAGATAAACAAAGTTAAATATTACAAGCAAATCTTATGTTAGTGATAATCTACGTACCGCCTGGAAATCCACCTGCTCCACCGGCTCCTAAAAAATCAAGAATCATAAACGAATGAAATAAACATTTAATTTAATACACTTACCTGGGAAGCCTGAAAAGTCTTTTCCATCTGACTCATTTTTTCGTCGTTCGGCTTCTTCTTTTCTCGCTTTTTCATAAAGTTCTTGTGCTTTTCGTTGTCGTTCACGTTTTGATTCTAATAATTTTTCTTCACGTTTACGTTCATATTTACGTTTATGATCAGTCATTTTTTTAGCCTAGAAAAAGCAAACGACCATAACAGATAATTACCAATACGACAGACTGTTAACATATTTGTTCAAACTATATAAAATGTAAACTCTTTAACACTAATCATCAGACAAATGCCTCAATTGTCGATCACGATGGAATATTAAACAGCAAAACGCTGATTAGTACTGCATCAGACTCGTCATCTTGTGTCATCACTTGATTTTATCCTTTTTCTTTTTTTGGTGAATGTCTATGTTTCTTCCTCTACTTTTCAGCGACAGACATTCTCTACTGGAAGAAATAAAAAAAAGGGCAAATAATTACGTACATTAGCTTCAACTTCTTTAATCCATTGCTGTACATCCTCATCAAAATCAGATATTTGTGCTTTGCAAAAATCTTTATGAGCGGCTTCCCAATTACCAAGCATACTAGAAAGAGAAATAAAACATTTATAAAAAAAACAATTTTTTACAGAAAATTTATTTATTCTACTCTGTTACGTACCGATTTGCTTTTCCTCTCCATTTTAATGCTTGTTGTGAATTTTCATTAATTTCCAATGCTCGTGTACAATCTCGAATAGCCGCATTTGGTTTCTGCAGTTTAACATAGCATTGTGCACGTTTTGCATATAGTATTGCCGATTGTGGATTATTTTCAATTGCCGCAGTAAACAATTTAATTGCTTCATCCAATTGACCTTCACCTAATTTTTGTTGTGCTTCGCTTCGTTTAGCATCAGCTTGTTCCAGCATTGCATCAGTTATCTAAATAACAAAAAACTATAAATACAAATGAAGATTGATGTGAGTATTATATTAAGTGTTTAACAAGGATAATATAGTGCAATATCTCGACAAATTGTCTAGGGAAAAATGTTCTTAAACAAACAAAAATCATGTTTCCAACAGGCATGGGCGACTCCCGAGTCCCTAAAAATTCAAGCCGAATGTGAGTCCTTAACAGTAAGGACCGAGTCCGAGTCTCGAATCCATTTTGAGTCCGGTAATCTTTTAGATTCTTTTCTGATGAGTGTGGTTTATTTTGCTTTTTTAATTTACTGAGCCCTGGATAGATAGTTGATTTTTCGAAAATAAGGTTACTTTGCATGTCCGCCTCGGGAACAAAATTTTCAATTTCTTATGAAACAGAAGATGTTGTTATTCGCTTTTCATTTTTCTCTGTTCATTTGTGTTAAAAGTTGAATAGATCGGACTCAATACAAAACGGATGATTAGATCGGACAATACAAAAACTCAAGTTCGAGTCCGCGAAAAAATCTTCCAATCCGGACTCGCCCATGCCTGGTTTCCACCGATCGTCTACCTTTTCGTGACATCTATATATTTTAAAAATACCTTACTTCAACATCTGGATCACCCATTGGTTGTGGCTCATCATTATCAGGCTCTACAACTCCTTCTCGGTCGAATTCTACAATCAAAGAAAAAAATGAACTAGTTCGGCTAAAAGTACTATAAATATGTCAACTTTTTCTTTGATAAAAGCTATCGTCTCGTTATCTTAGTCAAAGAAAATTTACTTTCTCTAGCGGCAGTGTCTGCTCTTCTTATCGGAGACATTCAATTTTATACAGACAAGCTAGAGTTATTACGTACCTAATTCACTTTCTGGATCACTTTCCATCTCGTGTTCATGCGTTGTTTCTTTTGTCGTGTGTTCAGTACTGGCAGACTCCGTATGGGAGTGAGATGATGCATTATCGAAATCAGAAGTTTCTTTATTACTAGACTCTGTTGACGATGACGTTTGTTCAATTTTAGCGCCCAGTCTGAAAGAATGAGAAAATGATACAATATTTTCTTAAAATATTTTATAATAGGATAACATATTGAAACTCTTAATAGAATGATACATACTTGATTAACCATGTTCTAAAAAAGTCTAACTCTGGTACTTGGATGATTTCTGGATTTTTTTCACATAAATTAACAAAATTTTTTAATAATAATATATGTTCTTTTGGAAGATGTGCATGTGCAGGCATTGCGTGGCTTGTTTATTCAATGTCAAAATAACCGGGATGATAATGACACGAATAAAAACTGTTAATCAGGTCAAAATCAATCTAGAAATAAATATAAATAAGAATTTGTTGAAGTATCGACATCTTACTTCAGAAGTAAAGCGCATTGCTATTGTAAAATTTTACTCTCTCTGGAAGAAACCAGTAGAACTTCATAGATGATTTATCTGCCATGCATTCGTGAGAATCTCAAACAATCTTCAACTTGAGTGGAGTTTTTCATTTATCTGTTAAACATACATGCATAAAATAATATCATTAGTTTAAATTCAGAGAGATTAATTAAAATATATCTTATATATATATAGTGTATTTTTTAGAAACAAAAAGACAACGGTTCAGGTATCAAAAACGGTGCGTGTCTTACTACACGTGAAAAAATCACTGCTTTTGATTTGTTCCTGAAAAATCTAGAAAAGTAAGGAAAGAGAAGAATGTGACTGGTAAAAAAATTAAACAAGAATACTTATAAACAAAATGGCGAGAACATGGACGGGGTTTTAGCACAGTTATTGAGGACGAAAAAGCTTCTTCTGACAAAAAACAAACAGTTTATCTTAAGAATGGATGAATAGTAAGAAAATTTAAGGCTTTTATGTATATAATATCGGTTAATGTTTATCAAAACAAATTTAGCACACTAATGCGATATACAACTTTGGAGCAAAGAGAAAGAGGTTCTGTTGCCAGTGTTTATTAGATCGTTCAAAGGAGCGAATGAAAGAAAAGACGAAGAGATGAATCATTCATTATTCACATTATAACGCGTGTGACAGTTGTTTCTTTTATTAAATTCTATTCCATACAGACAGTTGACTGCATGTACTTTGAATCCAAAATTAAATTTGGTTTCTAACCTTCTGCTTCGACTGACATAGGTGAGCGTTTCTAATGGGAAAATTCAGATCAGTGTTTTCAACAGCACGTTCAAAAGTGGACTTTTTACTATAACCACTATGTAAAACTGAAATATACTACAATTCTCACTCTGTTTCTAATTGTAAAACCGATTGCAAAGTGAATTTTGATTGAATTACAAATTTTAACTGTAAAATGTTCATTCTGATGTTGATTCCACAGTAAAAAAGTTCACTATCTCTCAAACATAATTTTTTGTATATTAGACTTGAAGGATCTCCCTTTTTACTCGTCAAATATGCATAGAAAAGAAAAAATGAGAGTTTAATTTCATTTATAATTAAACAAGAAGACTAAAAATAAAACTAAGAATAAGACTATTTTATTCACACAAAGTGAATCATCGAAGATGTGAATATTTAGAATGACTACAGTGTGAAACATGGGAAGAGGGCAAGAAAAATGATAAATTTTTTGAAAAGCTGTATAAGTCAAAAATTTTAACGGGAAAATAAAGAGATTTAGATTTTTTTGACTTAAGTAGTGAGCTAGAAGTATGAAAGTTAAAGTTATGAAAAGCAAGTGTATTTACAGTGTCAAGTACAAAGAGAGAAAAAGAACTATCGTTTAACGCGCGACAATAATCGATTTTAGGAAGTCAACAGTAAATAACAGTTCATCGTCACGGTTCTATATTTATTTACGACAAAGAAAATATTGCCATTCGCATTATGTTAAAATAGTTGATTAAAAGTAGCTTGGACTTGTCTTTTAATAAATTTCCCTCGTTACCATCAGTAGATGTTATCAGATTAGATAATACTGTGACTGTTTTTTTTATTAATCCGCAATCATTTTAGTATAGAGAAGATAGTTGTAGCAACTATTTTATATTTTATTATTTCACAATTTTTTGATAATATACACTGTGTTGAGAACGTAGAATAAATAACAAGTGATCCAGAAGAAATGATACTCTTACTATTTTTTTCCTTTATCTTACGCTCCGCCTGTCCCTTAGAGGTACATTTTTTTTAAAGATAAGACAGAAAATTCTTTACAAGAACCGTCTAAAATTTTTTCGATAAAAGAAGTATGCGCAAAATTTTATATGAAAAACTCTGGAAGGTACCAAAATGTCAAACTTCATAAATCCGTTTTTTTTAGACAAAATTTTTCTTCTTCCAGTTACAAACTATCCATATATTCTGTGGTTCTAAGCGGAGTCAGTTTCCCAATGGGAAAAAAAACAGTATCTAATGTCGATTAGGATGCTGAAAAGTATTGTAAGGCGCTGAGATGCCAGAAGGTGCTACAGTAAAAAAAAGTGCTTTTTCCCCCCTTACAGTTTTCGCTGAAATTTGAGCGAACAACGGTATAGCAATGATAGATTATAACAACAAGACTCCATGACATATGGTCATACAATAAATTGGCAGTTCATTATTAGACGTATTAAAAATGTGGAAAAGTCTTTTTTTCTGTACTTTCGGATGCGCGCTCTTTCTCATACGTTGTCAAATAGCTAGTTTAAATCAGCCTGAACAATTCCAAAACCAATTCCAAAAAAATAACTGATTAAAAAATGGTCGAATTTTAAGTATAGCTAAAAGATAAAGTTTTCGACAAGCTACAAAATGGCTATTTTAATCCTTTTCAGTTTTAAAGACTTAACTAATAAATTCATGTTGTAATTTATGAAGTTTAACATTTTGGTACAACATCAGAGAAAGGAAAAATAGTGAGAGTATTGAATGAACTAATGTTAACGATAAAGCTTGTAATGTGAATATGAGTCATTTGCAATTTTATTGTACAATTGAGTTTTTGTCGTATTTTTAAAATTACCCCGGTTTCTGAAAACGGATTTCGAAATTCTTTTTTTTTGTTTTATCGCTGTTTGCTTACTTCACTACCACAGAAAATCTAAGTTCGATATCTCAACAACTCACCGAGATAAGCCCAGCAAAAGTCGAAAAAAAACGTGTTTTTTAGATGAGTTATTGAGAAAAAAGTAAGTTTTTCTAACAAAGGAAGGAACGAAAAGCAAAAAAGCAAATACTACGTTTTGTAGAGCATTTAATGCTCTATCAAACTGTGTGCCTTCATGCTTGTTTTGTTTTTTTGTTTATGCTCGTTTATGGCGAAAATTGTTTTACAGATAGACAACTTGTAGATCGAGATAAAAATAAAACTGGGTACTTGAGAAAACGTTTTTTTGGGAATGTGAGGTGTTCATAAAAAAGAGCAAGGGCGGCTGCATCTAACTGAGTAAAAATGCTTTGTTAAATGTCTTTCTTACCGGACGAAAAAATGAAAAACAGAGTTTTACGTTCACTTTGTAGATCGAGATTTTCCAGCTTTTGACATCCGCTGTTTTACAAGGATTTGCCTGGCTGCAACAATATTGACCCACAAGAAAGAGTGTCAAAAGTTGTACAGGTGGTGCAATTTGCAAGTCTCTAGAACATACCTGAGTAGGAAAAAATTACAATATACCGCGAAATGTAGATCGAGATTACTCTAAAAGTTATTTCGGTTCTTTTAGTCAAAAGCCAAGTTATAACATCAATTTTGACTCCTTATATTCTGCTGAACTTATCTATCCATAAATTTACGTAGTTTTGATGACGAGTTTCTCCAAAGTGGCTGACCACCTGTAGGCTATAAGCTTTGCGTTTTATTTTTGAATACACATTCGAAATTAGGGTTTTAATGATCTAACGTTTGCTGTGCAGGTCAGACTAAGTTACATATGATATGAATCGATAACTCTCTACAAGATCTATCGATTTGTGTATGATATATCCGCTTTTAAAGCAACCTCGAGATCATTATAGCCTAAAACCTAGAGAACGGAACCTGCCGAAGTTTGTTGAGGTTTATCTCAGTCGCTACGCATGTGGTAATCGGGAAATTTGGGTTCTAGACTCAGAAAACAACAGAGAACAAGATGTGCTAATCAAATTTTGTTTAAACTCACTTTTATTATTTTTCACCAATTGTACAATAAAGTTGCAAATGACTCATATACAATTTTTACTATACGATATGCATTTCTGAAATGTTTAAGAGTCATGAAAAGTAGTTTTTTTTTTATGACAAAGGGATGAAACTTTGAATTTAAATCTTATAATAGAGAACTAAAACATCAAGAGTGGGAAGAACGACAACGCTAGTATCTGTTGAATATGTGTAGAATTTCGCGGTTCGAATGACAAATGTGTGGGATTTCTGAAATTGGAGGGAAGCTTAAGAAAAATCAGAAATTTTGAAACTATTCTGTCTAATATGTTTCTGAAGGTTAGAAAGACAAAGCAATTTTATAGGATAATTATGAAATTTTTAATTAGTTTTACTAACGCCGCACTTTTTTTCCTATAATTATGAGTTCGATTAAGATTTTAGTAGTTTTATAGCATGCACTCTTGCATGGTAGTTTACTCTCTGAATAGAATATATATGAATAGTAACAGAATACAAGTAGCTATATTTTACTATTCACCTTTCTCATTTTCATTAATTTATTAATAATCTAGATTAGTTTTCATACTGTTTTGTTTAAGTAGATTTGTCACCGTATAAATTCTAATAAAGAAATTCTACACCGCTGTTGAATGATGACAGAGAACTGAATGATCTTACTTTGTACTTACTAACCGTTTATGTTATGAGAAAAAAAAAAACGTGATTATTCGTTGTCATTGGGAATCACTAGTATATCATCGTCATATACTCAGTCATTTATTTCAGTATATTTACCATCATTCAATTTTAAAACATTTGTATTGTTGATAGAGTTTAAATTTACCACAGTGTTATTATTATTATTATTATTCTCCTATATCTAAATATTGATCGAATGATACAGTAGAATGTCAAATACTTTTAGAGGAATATAACGGAAGACATTTTCATTTTTACTTACTTTCTTTGTTTATTCAAGTAGTTTACATTCATTTTGTACGAGTAACTAGATCAAGATGTGCACTCTCTTATTTTTTATTTAATGATAAATCCTTTGTTGAATGCATCCAAATTTTTATACGTCTATTTGAATTATTCGACTAAATATTGTATCATTTCGATCAGTGGCGACATAA